CCTAATATACCCTTTGTCTTGAAATTATAAAAGTTATTAAAACTTCTAAAAAAAGCTATTGTGGACCCCACAATTCAAATTTAAATCGGGTCAAGACAAACAACTTTTGTATCACTCATAAATTGCTACAAGGGCATATTAGGAAATTCATCTTATACCACTATAAAAAAAATAATAAAAAATAACACTCTTAAAAAGTTGCATTCCCCATAAGCGACACTCTTTGCGGGACGGAGGGAGCATAAAATAACAGATGTATAAAAGTTAGTTTTCTATTCTTTGAAGGTATCTCTTGTAATTGCATTATAAGAAGATAATTAGTAATTAGTTTTCCAATACAAGACTTGGGTTGATCTAGTAATTTTTCCTAAAGTGAAAACTATTTTGAGTTTTGTTTGGCTAGTTTATTCATTTATTGAAATTCGTGTTATACAGAAATCAATTATCAGTTTATTCTGTAGTTGTTTATTTAAATTTTGATGATATTATATCAATTGGTATATTTTAAGATGTGATAATCTAGAATTAGAATGATCTCTTGTTGAACACATAAAATTATGTGACAATTAGTTATTTCATATCATAATTTTGATATGTGTGAAATGTGGGGGTAAGTCCAGTGGGAATTGTACATAATTTTATTTGAGAATGCATTTATGTGATACAACTTAGAGATATTATTTCAGTGCCTTATTTTATGTAGTAGGATTGACGGAGGTGTTTGTTTATATATGTAACGTGTCACTTGAAGACTTATCGTATACATCAGCATATAAATATGCAATTACACTTCTTTATATTATTTCAAAGGAAATTTTTATATGTAAGTTAACCACTATGTTGTTTTAGTCTATGATACAGGCTAATAATCTAATTTGACAACTCAGTGGCATTGATACAAGTTGGAAGATGCATGCATCACAAAGATGAACTAAAATAAAAAGACCAAGTGTCTTTTCTTTCTAGGAGTGTAGACCTGGAACTCTCTAGAGAAAGAAAATAATAATGAGATTGATGATATCTTATTTTTCTAGGAGTGTAGTCCTAGAAGTGTCGAGGGGAATGGGCTTTAGCCTTAAGGGAGTCACCTTCAGAAGTAACCTGTCCTTTGTGATTGGAGATCCCATGAATTAGGTTTAACGGATAGAAACAATCCGTACTGCATGACTTATTTACAACATTTTTTTTTTTATTAGGAGGTTTCTCATGAAGATCCACTCCTACCCATCCCTATGGCACCAGTGCTGTTTAGTGTGTCATTAGGAAGGACATTGTCCTGAATGAGCCCGAGGCAAGCAAACTATTGCAAGGTATTGGTCACATATACCTTTGGAGGACTCACTTAAGTGAGAGTAGTCGTAAGGCCGTGACTATGAGAATTGGGCTATTCTCTAATAACTCTTATGAGAATCAAGATTCCAGCGCATGGCCATTAATAGCGCTACACCGCTAACCAAGTCTTAAGTCAATACTATGTGTGTTACATGTTGAAGTCTGATTAAAGGGGTTGAGTTCAAGACCTAGTCTCTCGGGTTCCTCATGTGGAGACAGTAACAAGTGCAAGTTCAAATCCGGAAGACTCTTGCACTTATTGCATAGTATTCTGTTGCCCTAATTATTTTATTTCTTATATACTTATATTTAAATCTCTATATGATTTTTTTTTTTATTTAAAAACTTGTGGGGGATTGTTAGGTTTTTTGTAATAAAGTTTTTAAAACTTCTTTAATCGTAATGTTTGAATGAGTATGAAAAGTTAATGGTGAAAAGTATTTTGAGAAAAGACATGTCCTTTCATAAATAGGCATGTAGTAGCCTATAAATAGTAAGAATATTCTAACAAATAAGGGTTCTTACTTCTATTGTTTCTTTTCCTAAAAATACTCATTCCTTCATTCTTCAACCGAATACTATATTATATATATTAAATTATATATCTGGTTTTATGGACAACGTGACACTACAAGACTTGGTGATCGTCACTTTGTGAACGTACTTATGGATGACATTGGAGTTGTATCTTAGAGCTTTTCATAGTCGTCACAACCTGTACGTAGGGAGGCTATAAAGGCTTTAGAACAGCGCATACTGCGTGCCTATCCATTAAACAGGCCAGAAATTTCTTTACTCCTCTTATTGATTTTATATATTTTACTGGACTATTATTTCAGTATATTGTTTTATTTATACTATATATATTGTGTTATGATTATATTGTGACATGAATATATAAGAATAGCATTTTAATATGATTATGTGAATGAACTTAAAAATAATATTGTATAAAAATATCAAAAATTCCCAACAAAAATCCTTACCATCTGCTAATAATTCTTACACCCCTGTTTTTTTATTTTTTTGCCATACTTGAGACCCTACACGTTATTAGCTTAGAATTATTGTTCATCAAACCCTTTTAATACTAAATCACTAATTACTAACTTTATATATGGTAAAGAGACACGTATTGAAATACTAACCTTGCACAATCGAACCCATCTTTCAGCTTCCAACTCAATCATCCCAGTTTCATTGTTGTACCGTACACCAGTTTCAGATAATATTTGTTTGCAATCTTTGTACAGTGCTCTTGTTATGCTCTTATTATGTTGAATTTTTGCCTACATTGGTCCTTCGTGTACTTCTTTCCAGTTTCCACCAATATTGCGTCTACAATATGTGTCCACCCAATTGGATTAAAAGTCGTGCCTGTACGATTTCCTTTTCCAACCTCTTCCTTCATCAAGAGCATGAATTTCTCTTGATGGGCATCACACCAAACAGCGACATCAGCCTGTTCAATAACTACAACGTACTCACCATTCTCACCATCAAAAGAATGAATGTCTCTTGATGGGTATTGCTCAACATTGTCATTGTTCATGTCTATCTGATTATTATTAAGTAAATTGAACAGTTTAGTAAATTATTTAGATAATACTAATTTTAAATTGATAATTCAATGGTACTACATTATATAAGAATTAAAAATATAAATTAAAAATTAAAAAACAATTCAGTCATATTATTAATAGCCACATTGGAAACTCAGTCTTAATACTATCCCTCACGAGGTTGCAAAATTATTTGTTACTCATGTACAATATGATTAAACCCATGATTAGATTGGGAAAGTAAAAACCCATGATGGTTTAATATGTCCCACAACATGGGTTACTTACATTTATGTATATATATATATATATATATGTATTATCTAAAAGAAAGTGATGATAAGTGAATTATAATACGAAGGAATACTCTAAGTTACAATATAGTCGTGATAAATTATTATATCATCTTCATTCCTAATGGCTAATAACATGATACCAGATCCCATATGAGAACTTATTTGGCAACACAAAGACTCCTTAAGGTTCCCCAGGCGCTTTGCATATGCCCTACCAGAGGATTGGCCATTCAGGTTTGGAATATATATACAGTAAATATGTATTGATCTTTACATGGTATTTGTGTTTGAATTCTGATGGTTCCTTGAAGTGCTTGTGAAATTATTAGTTAATGGTACCCTTTAGGTCAAATTTCAGTCTTAAATTGCACTTCATTTACGTGTTCTTTCTATATATATATTTCTTGGTTATGTTTTAAGGTCTAACTAATGGTAGTGAGTCTAGATGAACTTATACTCTAATTCTTCATTTATTTAAAATCATTGTTTTCAAAAACAAAATAAGGAAATGAAACATTAAATTAGTTGCTTAACTTGCTTTGTGCATTTAATTAACAAATTATTTTTTTATTTTATTTATTTATTTATTTATTTTTTCTGATATAAAAATGAAAAGAACATTAGTTAAAACAATGTTTTTTCTAAGGACATTTAGATATTATCAAGCGTTAACCAATCACTGCATCTCCACAATTGCATCTCCACACACACACAGGAGTACGTACATCGAGTAACAAGCCAAAAGCAAACAAGTTCGTCGATGTCAAAAGAAACCAACACAAAGAGCTTACTAATTTTTAACAAAGATCAATCATCACTTGAAAAATTATTAAAAATGGGACAAAAAAGTAAAAATCAAAGTATGTCACAAATTTTCTAATTTTTAACCAACTTTAGCAGGAGAAAGAAGGTAGGAAATTTGTTCCATCTTTAATTTAAGTATGATATTGGACAACGAGTAAATCTTGTTCATTTTTCTCCATAATTTATTGATTTATCAAGTCAGTTAAGAATAAAACCATTTCATTTTCGGGAAAACAAGCACAGTTTTTCCACAAATATATATATATATATATATATATACATGTAATGTGATAGACATGAAAAGCTTACCAAGGCAGACCATATTAAAACACAGAATCCAGATGAACTCGAAAGTAAATTAGTTACATTTAAAACCCATGATGGTTTATTATGTATGTATAATAAAGGCAAAAATATCGACCTAGGGTTTCAGAGAGAAGAGAAATACCTTCGATCTGCTGGCCACCAAGCTAGGGTTTCAGAGAGTAGAGAGAAACGATAGGAAAGCCGACGCCGAGATGAAATTGGTCTTTCTTTTTGAAAGATTTGCAGACAAAAACGATCTACCAACCCCGGTTTGCGAGAATAGAAAGAGATGAGAGGCACAAATGAAATCCCCTCAACTGACCTACGAGAAGACAGATAAATGAGAGGCGAAAATGGAAGGAGGTAGCTGGTGGAGGAGCTCTGCTAGATCGGTGGTGTGTATGGAGTCACGTACAGTTCAATCGCCACTGAATCGCCTTCAAGGAGCTGCGCGAAGAGAGAGAAAGGAGGCTGAAAAACGGCTAAAATATGATATGCGACCTTATACACATGATATCACCGCTACAATAAAAATATAGGGTTGATGTGGTTTTGTTTTGGACTGATATCACCGCTATAGTGCCATATCACCTAATATCAACAAATTGGTGGTATGGGTTTTGGCCCAAATTTCATATCTGTTATGCAACTATTCAATATCAGATCAGGCCACTCTAAACATGATATTGGCTTAAAACTAAAACCGAAACACTCAAACCAATATCATTTTGGCCTTCCAAACAGCCCTAACCTCTTACCATGGTAGGAACTATCATTTCTCATTCAAATTTGTTCCAACAAAGGTACGGTACATTGTAGTTTTCCGTGTGCGTTATCATTTCGTGTCAGCAATTTGGATTTGATTTTTTTCATGTTGGGTAACTCATCCATCTACTCCCGCCAACGTTTCCCTCCTAAAACATCGCACACTTCCCAAAAATGGACCTAAGACTTCACAGTCCACGCTGTTCAATCTACTGCTATTCTCTCTCCAAGTCGGGGTTTATACTCATTTCTCTATCCTTTTCCCATTTAGGGTTTAGTATAGTGTCAGATTCCAACAATGGCGGCGGAGAATACCCTTTCTAGGGTTTCCCCTAGACTTTCAAAGGCTTCATTATCGCCGTCTCCGTCGCCATTGCCTCAAAATGGTAACATCGACTGCTCGGCTTCAAAGATTTCGGGTAAGGATGTGCTCCGGAAATCGCCGAGACTATGCACGAATCTGGAAAATGGCTATGGAATTGCCGCAAATGGGAATTCGAAGAAGCGGAAACCACCTGCGAAAAAGCAGAAGACGATCTCTGAATCTTCGAACAAGAAGAAGGGGGAAGGTTCTGGCGTTGTCTCGCTTCCCGCTGAATCTTCGAACAAGAAGAAGGGGAAAGGTTCCGGCGTTGTCTCCGTCTTGATCGGTGATCCGGTCCCTGACGATGAAGCTCGACAGAGATGGCCTTGGCGCTACCAAAAGAAGGTACATATTGTAATTTGTTTATGAATGTCTGGTTTGAGATACATGTAGTTTCTGATTGTTGTGCCGTTGAATTTGATTAAGCTTCTAATTGGTTTATTGGATCTATATTTTGTTGTTTTAAACTGTAGCTGGTAAATGCCATTTATAAAAGGGTGACTATATTCACATTTCAGGAAAGAGAAAAGGACTGGAATACATTTTTTTTTTTTTTAAATTTATTTTTTCTACCTGGTGTGTGTTTCATTACCTCCTTTTATAAGTAGCTGTGAATCTGTAATTTTGTTGGTTGAATTGTGTAATTCAGTACTTCCAAATGTAATTAATGTTGTTTTAATTGATCATCTTTTCTGTTCTCCCTTTTTTTGGGAGCACCTCTTTCCCCGTGAAATCAATGTAAACATCAGAAAGTAAATAATTTTTATGTGCTAACTGTTTTTAACCTCTTGTAGAAATTTAGGAAATTATTCTTTTAATGCAAATATCAAGAAAATTCGGGAAATCAAAGAGAACTAGATTTTCTCATCTAGATTGCATTAGAGCCATATGTGAAGAAAAAGGTTGAATGCTTGAACCTTGACACAGAAACTAGACAGCTAGTTGCCAACACCTCAGGCTTATGCTTGGTTCCTACAAGTCCAGTTGCTATTAATACTTTCGTCTGCACTCTTGAGAATAGTTGTTGATTCATCAATGCGACCAAGCCACTTGACCCATCTTCTTTACCTAGTGATTGAATCTGAGTCTCTACTCTAGAAAAAAATCGTGAATTTGCTAAGAGTTGTCTTTGATCATTCTTGAATCAATCATGTAGAAAAAATATCTCAAACAATAAGGGGAATCATGGACACAAAGCTAACTCTTGAATGGTGTGTCAATTTAGAAATCAAAGACAGCAATTGAAAAATGATTGTGGGCACACAACCCGAGCAAGCTTATGTGTATATAAGAGAGAGACAAATAAGATGTATGTCATATAATTAGAAATTGCTAAATTTTCATCACAAGACATTGTGTAAGGTTACAAGGGTAATATCTATGCATAGTTGAGTACATATGTCTCCGTCTAGTTATTTATTGGTAAAAAAGAGTTACTATTGATATACAACGTTTTTTGGGTTTCGTGCCGTTGCCCATAATGCCACAGATCGGATCGGATAAGATCAAAATAGGCATCAATCCTAATCCGATCCGCTCCCAACAGATTAGAAAAATCTTAATTCGCCACCGATCCGTTATTCCACGGATTGGATCCGATCCGTGGACTGACAGATCGGATCGGATCCGTGGATTGTGATTTTCCCTAAATTGTCCAATATTATTTATTTTTTAATCATAGCCTAATAAATAAATTTTCAATTTATCAACGTTAATTCATATATTTAAATGATCATTAACTAATACATTCTTAGAGTTCATTAAATGATTATTAACTAGTTAAATTAACTAATACATTCTTTGAATATATATATAAATCTCTTGGATCGGACTCACGGATTGGATCGGATTTTAACAGCCCAATCCTTATTCAGACTTGTGTCCTCATGCTTTCATATTACGTATTAGGGCGATTTTAGGAGATTTTGATTAGGACACACTTATCGAGGATATATTTATATATACATATATTATGTCATGAAGAAGACGTTTTTGGATGTAGCGAGCCTGCCAAGATTGGTGTTGAAGGGAGATGTGGTGCAAACGTCCACCGACAAAGGGATTGTTCTTCGGGTGGATGAGCAGAGCACAATCCTCCGTGAAACAACACTTCAATCTTTCCTCGTTGGGAGATTCGACAGAGATGTGGGCAGTTTGGAAGGAATTGAGGAGTGGGCTTCAAAGATTTGGCAGATTTTGTGTGGGGTTAGGGTTTCTAATCTACCAGATGGGTTATTGCTGTTTCGATTTCCATCGGTGAAGGAAGCTCAGAGGGTGCTAAGATGGGGGGAAAAATCTTGGGGTGATGCACAACTGTTAATTGATTTGTGGTGTTACAGAGTTGGGTGTTTGGGGATGAGGAAAATGACGAGGCAGAGAAGGATAGCGCTGTTTGGCCTTCCACTTCATCTTTGGTGCCAGAAGCTTTTTAAATCTATAGGGAATTTATGTGGTGGGTTAGGGAGGTTGAGGTCTCTGAGAGCGAGACAGAAAGGATAGTCATCACGGTGGACGATAGCGGGGTCATCTCGGAGTTCGTGATCGTTGAAGACAGGTCTTGGGCTTTCAAGATCTCAGTGACGGAGGAGATCGCTCCTTCTGTGGTGGCAAAACCCATGGTATCCCTAAATTTTGAGAAGAAAGGATGTGTGTCTTGCAGTTCCGAGGCTGGGTCAGTCTGTTTGGCGAGTTCGGAGAAGAGGATGGCAGCAAGGTCAGGGACGAGGTGACCTGTACGCGCGGAAGGCGAGTGGGAAGGGGTGGAATGGAGGTGCCCATGTGAAGGGGATAGGGTTTCGAAAATTACGGATAAGGTTTTGGATGGGGTTGGCCGGTGGGACATGGGTCGTTTAATAGGCCGCGCAATAGGCCAGTTGGTTCTTATACTCAGAAGGTGCAGACTAGGCACAAGTCCAATGATGGGTATGGGCCTAATAACTTGGTCTAGTAGAAGAGAGATAGGGCTGTGTATTGGGGCCCTAATAAGAGCCTGTCCATTAGAGTCTTCGGCTTGTGTTCAAAGGAAGAGGAGATGAGATCCAGAGTCAATATGTTGGGCAAGCCCAGGTGTGGAATTTTGCATCGGCCCTTGGTGAAGATAATAGACACTGGTGACGATCGGAGAAAGAGAATTAGGTTAGAGCGAGTTCTTATAGCAATCACAAGGGGAAAAGGTTTCGGCATGGGAGTTGCTGTGTGCAGATGGTTTCAGACAATCGATTTCAGTCTCTGCAATCCACTTCTTCTGATGATGGTGATCCCACAACCAGATATGGTGGGCGTTGGTCACGAAAGGAGAAACAGAAATGGGTTTGCCCAAAGGAAAGCCAACCTGGTATGTCTTTTTTCCCTAACTCTCGGAGCCTTCTTTCTGCTCCTTCTTTTACTCCTTGTGGGGTGTTAAGGAGGGAAATGGGGGAGGAGGTTGACCGGAAGTCGGAGAGAATTGGGGTGTTATCGCCTGTGGTAGAAGTGGATTCGGAGGGGATTGGGTTGGATGCAGAGACAGAGGATGAGGTGGGACACTTGAGTAGTCACACACTTGATATTCTGATGAGTTCTTCTTCCAAGATGTTAAGGGAGAATGCATCAGTGATGGCAGCGCCAGTTGGTGTGGATGGAGTTACGGTTTGTGTGGGACGAGACTTAAAGTTTTAGTTAAGTCAGGAGGTTGCGTCAGTGCTGGTGAAGGAATTGAGGATGTATAAAGGGTTGAAGGGATTGAATCGTTTGCTGGATTTTGGCTCAGTAGGGGATGACTCTGAAGGGGATTTTGGTTCACCTTCGGCTTTCAACGGGATTGAGGTTTCGGCTGATGACGGTCGTGACAGATTGGGGGATGGGGGAATAACAGGAATGCTATAGAGATGGTTCCACGGGAGGATACTACTAGTTTGGAGATGTAACCGTTATGTGTATTACGGCTGGACGGGGGAACGGATTTCTCTGTATTAGGTTGTGATGACAGAGGGGTGGAGTGGGTGAAGGATAACATTGATACTGTGAGTAGTATGTAGGGACTTTCTTTTCAGCCAGATGAGGAGCATGCTCGTTTGGTGATGCATTCAATTGTGGAGGGAAATAATGTGGAGGATGTTAGGAGTTTGAACAGAACAGTTAGAAAGAAGAAGAGGTTATCCCCTTGGAGAGGGGGAAGGGAGATCCGAGGCCTGATTTCTGACATTAATTATGAGGGGAAAAATGGGACGAGGATGGAGAGGAGCAATGAGAGGGGAAGAGGGAGAAGGAGAGGGGAGGGGTCATCTATTGGTTTTTAATGAAGTGCCGCATTATTTTGTGGAATGTCCGAGGGCTTAATGATTCGGACAAAGGAAAGGTGCTTAGATTGGCAGTGAGGAAGTGGGGTGTTCTTGTGGTATGTTTACAGTAGACGAAGATGCCAGCCATTTCGGATAGGGTGGTTAGGAGTTTGTGGGGTGGGAGGTTTATTGAATGGGAGGCGTTGGATGTTGTTGGGACATCTGGGGGTATTTTGGTGATGTGGGATAAAAGATGGGTGTTAAAAGCGGATGTGTGGCGAGGGAGATTCTCCATTTCTTGTAGTTCTACTATGGAAGAGGATGGCTTCCGTTAGGTGTTCTAGGGTGTTTATGGTCCAGTGGATGATGGGGAGAGGCATTCTCTCTAGGAGGAGTTGGGATTTGTTAAGGCATAGTGGTGTCTTCCATGGTGTGTGGGGGGTGATTTTAATGTGGTTAGATCCCCTTTGGAGAGATCGACAGGAGGAAGATGGACTCAGGCTATGGTACAATTTTTGGAATTCATGGATGGTCATCATCTTCACGATTTGCCTTTGGAGGGTGCTTCTTTCACATGGGTTAATGGCAGAGAGTCTCCTACCCTTTCACATCTGGATAGATCTCTCATTTCAGGAGATTGGGGGGAGAAGTTTCTGGATGTGACTCAGGCAGCCTTGGTTAGACCGACATCGGATCATATTCCCTTGGTGTTGGATTGTGGTGGGTTAAGGTCTAAAATCACTCCTTTTCGTTTTGAAAACATGTGGCTTAGGGCAGATGATTTCCAGGGGTGTGTGAGGTCTTGGTGGGAAGGTAGTATGGTGTTTGGGAATCTGAGCTTTATTCTTGCTAGAAAGCTTGGGGTGTTGAAGAAGGAGATGAAAAGGTGGAATAATGAGGTTTTCGGGAATCTCGAGTGGAGGAATAGTAGGGCTTTGGCGGAGATTGCAGAGATTGATAGCCGGGAAGGCATGGGTGGCATTGATGATGAGCAAAGAAGTAGGAGAGCGGCGTGCCAGGCTGAATTGCTGTGTCGGAGGAGATTTCATGGAGACAGAAATTCAGAGCATTATGGCTTAAGAAGGG